TCTATCCTCGGCAGGGGATAACTATCCTTCTTGGTAACATTATTGAGCTGCCGATAATCAACACAGAACCTGGTGGTACCGTCTTTCTTCTTTACTAGTACTACCGGCGATGTCCACGGGCTGTTAGATGGTTCGATGACACCCTCTTCTTTCATTTCTCGAAGGATTTTATCAGCTTCTTCACGTTTGGCGAGCGGAAGTCTTCTCGGATTTTGTTTGATTGGTCGTGCATCTCCGGTATCAATTTTGTGTTGTACTAAATTGGTACGACCTCTCTGTCCTGCTTCTCCTTTATCAAACACATCTTGATACTTGATTATCAGGTTTCTCAATTTTCTTCTATTTTCGGGAGATAATCCTTTAACGTTTACTAACTCCTTCACCATTTTGTCCGGAATTTTTGAAGTCGAAACTTTGGAGGCTTCCACGCTTCGAACGACTGAGGAGACCGAACAACAGTACCCTAAGAGGGTTCCCTTCTTCAAGGATACAGAATAATAATTCGTGTTCATTACTCTCACCGGTACAGTTTTCTTCGCTCGTAGCAGGGCTTTTCCAACAGCGATCCCTCGTCCTATTTCGCTGTCATGGTTCCTTGGCTCCAACAGAATAATACTCCCATTATTCATTTTACCTTCTAGGCAACCATCCAAAAATATCTCACAGCGCTCAGGGATCGAAACATCTTCTGCTACCACCACGCGAAGCGTCTCCTCACATTTTCGATGCAGAACCACTTCTTCTTCATTTATTTTCAAAATTCCTTGTTTGAGGTTTAGCTCAAAACCTCTAGTGGTCATGATGTCCATTCCGAGAATAAGTTCATCTTCGATGTCTGCTACTAACACTCGATGATTAAAACAGGTGCTTCCGATAACAAAATTAAGATCTACCTCTCCATGGATGAGAGCGGAGCTTCCTGTAGCTGTACGTAGTCGCCATTGTGTTGTTTTAACCTTCTTCGATGTTTTAAGAATGTCCGGTCTGATGATAGTTTTCGTCGCACCTGTATCCAACAGCATGGTCCGGAACTCTCCATCAACAAAACCATCCACAAAAATGCTGTTGAATTTGTGTTGTAGCGAGGCGACTTGAACAGTTTTCGTTGGGGCATGTTGGGTGCAGGTCGACGTGTGCCTTCATTTCGACCCTTAGTAGTTTTCCGACCTCGACGAAGCCGGTTCTTCGTTCTTCTCCTTACAACGGCTTCGCACGTGTCCCACCTGTCCGCAGTTCCAGCAACAATCGGTCCCTTCTTGCCCATGTACTGGTCCATTATCTTCCGAATAATCCCTTCCACGGATTCGTCAGAACATTCGTCGATGGCCCGTACTCTTCCTAAAGACCGAGAACTTTGTTTCGCGGCCTCAAATTCTAGGGCACGTGCTAAAGCATCCACCAAGTGCGTTGGGTGGGCTAGGAGAAGTGCTTGTCTTGTCTCGTTGTCACGTAAGTCGTCGGAGAATGCCTGTACTGCCAACCGCTCCATAACATTCTCTGGCGTAGCAGGGTACGCAAGGCGAACGAGGCGGGCTACGTCGGCTTCAAACTCCTGCAGAGACTCATTTGACTTTTGAATGCGATTTTTTAGCTGGGAATGACATGTTCCAAATGAGCTTGGCCGTACCTCATTTCTAAATGTCGTACCAATTGCTGATAATCTCCCTGTTCCGATGGTGACAATGTCTGCAGAATATCAGTCGCATCTCCTCGCAGTGCGACAGTCAAAGCGGTAGCCTTTTCAGCGATTGTCCATCCGTTCGCTCTCGCAACGGCCTCAAACTGGCAAAAATAATTGGCCCAAGCGGTCTTTCCGTCAAACTGTGGAGGCTTAATAACTGACTTTGAGATATACTTATTTTCGACTAGTTTCGGTGCCTCCGATGTTTCTTGACATTTTGGTGAATTTGCCTTTGCTATTTCTTGTTTTAAAATTCGATTTTTCTATTTACATCTTCCTCAATCTCTGTTATTTTATTGTTAAAACTTTCTTCCAAAATTACTATTTTATTATTAAAGCTGGCCTGTATATCTTTAGAATTTTCGATGATCTTATCTTCTAATGTATTGATTAAATCCTGGGAATTTTCCATAATTTTATCACTGATTTTCTCTTCTAAATTAAATTCCAAGTCAATTATTTTACTATTCAAATTGTTCAAGTTGTCGTCTAATTTTTGTAGGCACGAGTCAAGGTCACCTTCCAACTCAAAGCAAAATGTGTCAGGATCCTCACCTTCCTCCACCAAAACGTCTCTTAGTCTAGCTTGCAAAATGCTTTTCTTTCCATCTGTTTCGCATTCCCTCTCTTCCAGAACGCTTTTTAATTCCGACACTTTCAAGTCTTTCAACAATTTTTTCGGAGCCATTGTCTGTCTTTTTATTTTACTAGTCTATCACACACGCCACACTTGACACCAATTGTTACGTTTTTCGTCGGTTCCGTTGGATAGAAAGTCACAATTTATTTAAACACTATTTATTTAACACTAATTAACAAAAATAATAACGATAAAAGACTTATAGAACTATTTACAAACGATTTATAACTAAGAAGTTATTTTGAATTTTAGCGCGTCAACTGTATATTTATAACTGCCCCCTGTAGGCCACCGCCGCCGGCTTTTATACCGACAGGTAAAGAACTCTAGAATTGTCCATAGATCGTTAGGTGCGTAGACAAGGTTTTCGAATGTTCTCGTATGTACTCGTCCATTCCAGTGGGACTCGATTCTTCTCGAACGAATGAATCATTGCGGTGTCTATGCGATGTTAAGGTCATACGAGGGCGGGCCATATTGTGAGGTTAGGTCGAGTCCACACGGGCCCGCAACAATATCAAGTCACTTTCATTCTTTCCCGCATTTCGCAAAGCTCTGAAATAATACACACACCGGAAAAGTCTAGAGATATTACAATTTTATCCAGCCATCGTCAGTAATTTTATTATTTGCATTTCTGATATAATAAAATTAAAATAAACAAATAAAGGACGTATTGGAAATAAAAATGCGAAATTTACCGAAATTTCCAAATTTATATTGATATTTATTGAATTCAGAAAAATGCACGATTTTTTTTATTCTAAACTGTGAATTAAAAAAAAAGATAAAACCATTTTTACTTAATAAAGGGTATGGCCTCCTCTACTGTTCATTACAGCCCTACATCGTCTCTCCATGCTCCTGATCAGGTTGTCAATCTCTTCTTGAGGTACAGCCTGCCACGGTGCATTCACGGCCCGAACCAGATCCCTACGAGTTTCACGAGGCATACCCATTCTCAAAATTCTTCTTTGGACCGCGTCCCATACGTGCTCGATGGGGATGAGGTCAGGAGATTGTGCCGGCCAGGGTAAGATGTTTAATTGATAAACTCACTTACCACTCTGGCTGTATGAGGCCGTGCATTGTCATGCATGAGAATGAAGTTTCTCCCAAAATCATTGGCATATGGTAACACGACAGGCTCAACAATTAAATCACGATATGTGATTCCTATTAGAAACTTTTCAAGAAAAACGAGATCGGTTTTTCGGCCTAACTGGACTCCTCCCCAGACCATAACTGTTCCACCTTGATAAGGGTGCACTTCCTGAACATGATCCAACCGAATAAGATTTCCCGGTTCTCTCCATACCCTAAGCCTTCTCGAATCCGGATGAATTCCAAAGCGTGACTCATCCGTGAAGAGAACATTGGCCCATTGTTCATTCGACCACTGAACATGATCTTGAGCCCACAAATATCGTACCTCTCGATTTCCTCTCGTTAAGGGTTGAGCTCTCCAGGGGCGTCTGCTTCTTAAGTTGACTTCTCTTAATCTATTGCGAACAGTGTCAGGACTAACGGTTACATTATGTGTTTCCTGGAGAATTAAACTAAGCTCTGGTGCTGTAAGAGTCGGTCGGCGTCGAGCATTTAATTGTAAAAAATGATCTTGCTGAGGGGTAGTAATGCGATGTCGCCCTGTGTGCCTTTCAGCAACATCACCACTTTCACGGTAGCGTGCACTTAATCGCGATATTACACTCTAGCTACGTCGATTTGGCGCATTCCAGCTTCGAGCATATCCATGGCCCTTAGCATTTCGTCTCTGTTAAGATGTCTACGCTCCATAATGTCGTTTAATACTAAACAGAGTTATTTGAATGAATTCTGGCCAGTTATCATAAAAACATAGCCAGTACAGGTTAAATTCGAACAATTGATGCTAGGTGCTTTTTATACATTTGACAAAAATGCACAAACACTTCTGCAAATATCCCAAATTTAGAAATAACTAGTGTGACTACTTCGTTTCAATCGAAGTAGAAAGAATCGGCCTACAAATATGTGGTTGTTTATTCAAAACATTTATTTTTAACATTAATAAAATGATATTCCTAGATTTTTCCGGTGTGTGTACTTACTGGGAGAGAGCCCTATATGCGGTAAACGACTTTTTTGTTGATGTTTAATCATGAACAATTTTGAATTTTAAAATGTTGATCATCTCACACACTGGTTAAAGATCTAGTATTATTTAATATTTAATATTTTATAACTTTTACATGATTATATTCATTTACATTTTTCCTATTGTAAAATTTTATTGATACGCCTTTTTTTTGTGTCCAGCAATGTCCATGTACATAGGTTTTATTTTTATTTTTTTTGAATTGATTTGTATTCTATGATATTTTTTATTATTTGTATATTTTTTTGTGCTTTTGTTTATTTTGTAAATGCTTTGTCGATGAAGCTATTTTGGTTTTTTGTACAATAAACCGTTGTTTATTATTTATTATTACTTTAACTCCCTGTAGCTACAAAACAAAAGCAGAATGTTCGTATAAAAATATTTTTTTTACGTGAGCAATATTCCCACGAGAGATAGCACATGGTTTTTAAAACACGCTGTATATTTCGTATTTTGTTTAGTCATAGGTATACTTTATTTTTATCTCCTTAAAATATAAGTTTTACGAAAATAGGCATATATTATATATTTTATTTTAGGAATTGAGGGAAATAGCTGAAAAAAATAGAAATGTCCACATCTTAACGCTAGGTAAGGAAATTTTTTTTGATTATGTAAAATTCATATTTGCCATTCTTTCGTAGACGTAAAAAATACGGATACTTTTGACCGCTTTGCAAAAGACGTGGAATCTATTGTCGGAGATGATGGCTTGAATGTTTTATTCAATAATGCCGGATATTCTCCGAAATCCACCAGGATAAATATGGTAAAAGCCGAACAATTGGCTGAAACATTTGCCATCAATACTATTGGACCTATAATGTTAACCAAGGTATCTACCGTGTGATAAAAAAGAAATGGTTTCCAGTTCCAGTTATCTAGGAAATGACTGTCGATGATATTCACCACCTACTAATTTTACATATAAAATCTCATCAATAGTCAGTTCTAAGGAAACGTGACGTCTTTTTAGAATAGGTATCCACCGACTGGAAATATGTTTCTAGTTAATTTAATGCCGGGTCCAGGCCAAGCAGACAAAACAACGACAAGACAGAAACATTCATGTTTTACGACAAATTTTACGACAAAATTGCGACAAAACTGCGACATTTTTGTCTCATTTTTGTTTTCTTTCAAAATTCGGAGACTTTTCAATATCCCGTCTCGAGTCGGTAAAGATCGCAGTGTGGATGGCGTGTGTTGCCAACAGTAGGAGACCAGTGAAATCACACATGGTTAATAAAACTCATTCGCAACAACTAAACTTTTGACTTTGTTGTACTTTTGTCCTTGCAGTGTGGACAATTTGTCTCAAGTTTGTCTTGTCAGAATTCCCCGTTTTTTGTCACAAGTTTGTCTTGTTTTTGTCTCAAAATCGTGTTTATTTTGAGTCGCCTTGGTCTGGACCCGGCATAAGAGATACGGATAAATCTCTTCATACTTACTGAAGCTCCCCACAGACGCCAGTTTTTTTTCGCACAGGCCGCCTCACGGTGGGGTATTAGCATGAAAAAGGTGATCGAAATTCGAAAAACCAAATGTGTTTAAGATTTCCCAAAAAAAGATAAATGATAAGTTAAATCATGTCTGCAATGAATGGCGTTGCTATGGGTGTGTTTAGTTGCATTCATTTGTTTCAACGAAACGTCAAAGTTGTTACTTCTCAAAGATAAGAGGTAAATGGCTAAATTTTATGTCTAAAATTATAAATTGTTTTTGTTCTTGTGCTCTTTTTACGTTTATATTATTGTTTTGATTGCTGCAGGTATGTATTCGACAAAAACGTATTATTCATTTTGATATTCTCTATACCAACGATTTTTTTTGCAACTAAAAGTTGGGCGTTCAGGAAATTTGATTAAATTTGTGACATTTTTATTATACTTAGAGATTTAGTTGCGCATTTCGAAGAATTCAGCATATTGTCTATATACGTTTTACTTAGTAAACATTGGGCTTTCATACAGTAAAATAAAATACTGCGACTTTTTGCGACTTTGCTGATAAAATGAGAAAAACATTCTTGGTTTCCTCTAATTTGCCAATCAGTGATATACTAATGCGAGGTGTAAACCGCGATGGAATCGTTGTGTACAAAGCGATCGCATTAGTGCCATTAGCAGTATAACACAATTTGGCATTAGTAGCGACTTTAGTGGTATGGGCATTGTTCGCGGATCAGTCGTAGCATTAGTAATATTAGTTGCGATATTACTACTGGCATTAGTGGCATTGCCACGGACAAACACTGGAACAGTGATTTTTCTTTCTTTTTTTAGAATCGACGAATTATCCTTTATTTTGTTCATATTATTTCCTCTTTAATTGAAATTAGCAATAATTAAAAAAAAAATAATTTCGATCAACTGTCTGTGTCAAATACCCCACTGTGCGCCTGTCCAAACCTGATTTGTACAATCATATATGGGCACGTGTGTGGGAAATTTCGGCCAATTGTGCTCGTAAAGAAAGTTCAGCGTATTATTAATTTGCAACAAAATGTCAAACTTAAATAAATAGTTTTTATGTCATTATAAAAAGCCCGCTATGTTTATGGAAAATAAAAAAGTGGTAAATAGTACAGTGACAGATATAAAAAAATCTTTATTTTACAGGGTGGTCGAAATTGGTCTGATTTAACAGAGAAAACCTATTTCCTAACTAGATAAAGCAAAACCGACATAGATATCATAGGCTCGATTTCTGGGAAACGTTTAATGGCCTGTTCATATTTTCACTGCCAACCGAGATACGCAGTCTTTTTGATTTTTTTACCATTATTATATATTATTACCGGAATAATAAAATTCTGTAAAAACATTCTTAAGGCACTTTTTTATGCACAATCCAGTGGCGCAGTCAGTTTTTTTCTATACTGGCTTTTTTAGTCAGAAATAATAAAAAATATAATGTTTTAAATGGACATCATAGTTGGCTATGAACTTAAACAAATGCTGGCGTTTAACCCTTTCCAACGATATTACGTGTATTTATTTCTAAGAATGAGAGAAATATTAGGTTTTTTATCTTTATATCGAAGCGGGCCTTGATTTTGTGTTGACCTAGTTGCCTAATTATTTTTTTATCACAATTTAATATTCTATATTATTATTTATCTGCATAATTAAAAACTTTTGAAAAGGTGAATCAACATTCTATATTAGTATTACCCATGGGCGCCGGACAGGGGGGGGCAGGAGGGGGCATTTGCCCCCCCCCCTGGATCACTGAAACAATAAAAATAAAAGCTATCTTCTTACATCCATCTGTAAAAAAAATAATCATTATTATGAAATTGTTAGGTGTTACCTGTCAAAAATAAAAAATGTGGTAAAACTGGAAATCGTCCGATTTTCACCAAAATTGGTATACACACTATTTTTAGGTCGTAGATTACGAATCTATTTTTTTCTTGGCGGTCTCTTACCGTTTTTCAGAAAAACGGAAAATTATTTCAACATTGAATTTTTCTTTATTTCGGCCCTGTAAAGTAATAATTTCACTATATTTTCATTATATTATAGTTTATCTAAAAGCCACACTTGATTGGGGATAGAAAAGTGTCCAACATTTTACTGAAAAACACTTTTCTTAACAAAATAGCAAAGAAAATTGAGACCAGATGGAAGTTTGACATTTGATATATCCTTCTTTCTCTCTCCTATGTAATAAGAGAGACAAATATATTCTAGACCTAATCTAGAAATTTGAAAATTTACAACGTTGCCATATCTTCTATTTTTTCGGGTGATTAGGGATTTTAAATAAATTACCTATTATGAGATCGACAATAATTAAATATACACCTATATCCACAAAATTACGCGGAAGAGTTTTGATTGCATTGGTTTTAACTTCTTTGCGGAGGGGGTTAATCTTTTTTTAGTTAATCTAATAATATAACAACAAAAGATTAACACCCTCTGCATGGAAGTTGTAACCAATGCAATCAAAACTCTTTCGTGCAACTTCGTGGGTATAAATAGTCAGATCTCGTTGGTAAAATAGCAGTTATGGGAAGGAGCCGTTCTTCTGGCAACCGCCTTCCGATTCCAGAATGAGCGAAAACGTTGCTTTAAATGCCAGAAACACATAAACTTACTTCGGGTTTCTCTTATTACCGATTCTGAACCGTCCTAGAACTGTGATGCGTATGCGCAGAAGGAAATATGAAGACATTATTTCATTTGCGCATGCGCTGCAAAGTTCTTGGACGGTTCAGAATCGGTAATATCAAGAACCCGAACAAAGCTATAATCTAACATTTTCAGATTGTTTACAAATTTATTTTAGCAAATTTTCCTCTATTATGCATAGAATTGGTTAAAAAAGTAACAGAAAATAGCTAAAACATCATTGTTTATTGAATACCTAACAAAATATGTGCTAGAAAACCTTAAAAATATGAGAAAATAAGAAAAATTCGATGTTGAAATAATTTTTCGTTTTTGTGAAAAACGGTAAGAGACCGCCAAGAAAAAAGATTCAGATTCGTAATTTACGACTTCAAAATAGGGTGTATACCAATTTTGGTGAAAATCGGATGATTTCCAGTTTTCCCAATAATTACCAAAAATGTCAATTTTTTATTCATTTTTACCTTGCCCCCCCTAAATTTCATTCTTCCGGCGCCCATGGTATTACCAATTACAATTAAAACGCCAGAGTTACAATTGCACTATTAAATGGAGAATTTAGAGAGAATTGGGTTGGAACAAGGGGCCCATATCTTAGCCTGCTAGGTCCAGTGATTTAACTCCTTTCGAGTTTTTTTATGGGGGAAATTAAAAAACCACCTGTGGTACCAGGTTAGATTGCGCAAACTGGCCTGCACAGTCAGCCCGTGCTAAAGAATGGGCGTGTGTGGGGGCTCTTTATAAATTGGAGATCAATATCATTACATGAACTTTCTGTTTTAAAAGATTGTTATTTCGTTATAAGTACACAATTTTATGAAAATATAAATATTTGTTTTAATTTTTTCCAATAGTTTACCTACTGCACCGGGTTTTTTTTATGTGCAATACGATAAAAAAAGACGTCAGAGTTGATTTGGAAATGAAGATCGCTTTTATTTTATAATGTAACGACTTATTGCCGTCTTTTTATCATACATTGAAATAGTTAATTAAAAATCAAGGTTACATGACTCACGTATCACCTTAATGAATTCCCCATATTTGTATGTTCTATTTTCTATTCTACATACAAAATCACTTTATTAAAAAAGATTTTTGAGACGAATGAAAAGAAAATAATTTTACGCAATTTTTAGGCGCTACTTCCGCTTCTATACAGAGCAGCAGCAAAAAATGTGAACGCACCAGTTTCATGTTCAAAAGCGGCTGTAATAAATATGTCATCGTTTTTAGGCTCTGTAGAGCTCAATACGGATGGGGGTTTGTATCCTTATCGATGCTCTAAGGTTAGTATGCTACCAAAGAACTATTATCGTAGCTTATTTAATTATACAAGCCCTAACAACTATATGTTGGGACAAGGTCTTTTTTTGCAATAAAAATAGTAATTTATTAAAGCGACTCAATTTATTTTGTTTATTATTCTAAATTCAAACATTACAATATGATCTAGACAATTTTACTATATTTTTATAACTTTGCAAACAAATCACTTTTGATAACAGCTCATTTTGACAAAATCAAGCCAAATTTGCTGACAACTATATATTGGGACAGCACAACAAGAAATTTGTTTAATACGGAGTTACATAACCTTTCGCCTTAACAACTGCCCGAACTCTTAATTGGCATTGTATTTACCAAAGATTGGCACATTTGAGGAGAAAAATTATCCCAAATTTCCTGCAGATTTGTCCGCAAATCAAAAATTGTTCGTTGAGGGTGGTTTCTTAAATATTGCTTCATTTTATGGCCACACAGTTTTTACAACATTGAGGTCCGGACTACTTGAAGGATGGGATAGAACTTTTATATTATTATTACCGAACCAATTTTTAGTTGATCTTGCTGAACGGCACGATGCTCCATCTTGTTGGAAAATATAGTCTTCGTTTGAAAACAATTCTTGAGTACTAGGCAAAAGTGAGGTCTCAAGAATGTGTTGATATTTTTGGGCGTTAACAGTGCCATCTATAAAATTTTATTTGCCCAAACCTCTTGCTGACATGCAACCCCAAACCATAATCTCCTTAGGAAATTTAACAACCCTCTTTAAGCAATCTTTATGAAAGTCTTCTGCTTTATTTCGTATTATTCGTTTTCGATGATCTCCAACGCAAACATCAAATTTAGACTCATCGCTAAATATGACCTTATTCCAATCATTTTGTGTCCACGATAATTTAGATTTTGCTCAAGTGTAGCGATTTTTCTTTTGAATTTCTGTCAGTAGCGGTTTTTCTTTGGCCTAAATATGAATATGTATCAATAATCTTCAGGTAATTGATTATCCACACAAAATAAAGTTTACCTTGTAAAACTCCAGACCGCCATTTGTGGATATATTTTCGGCAATATTCTCTTGATATATTTAAACCAGTTACAGTATTCCATTTAACTGTTACTTCGCTAAGAGTACTTCTTCTCGCAGACTTGCAAATTTTTACTAAATTTCGTAAATCTCTCTGAGATACAACTTTTGGCCTTCCCGAACTTTTACCTCTAACGTCTACGTTGGCAGATTCGCCGTATTTTTTTTATTGTATTAAAGACCGTGGTTTTTGGAATACTTCAGAAATCATCAGAAATTTTTCGAATTGTTTTTCCCGTACTGTATTGACGAATGATAATTTCGCGTAGATTTTGATTTGTAGCTTTTCCACGGACCATTACTTTAGATTAAATTAACAAAATTGAAAATTAAAAAAATTAAAATTTCTTACAGTAAATCTCACTACTCAAAGTATCGAGTCACTTACAAGCTGTCAATGCTGAAGTAAACAGTTTGCGACATTTGTGACGTTTATAGCAAAGCCGCCTATGATAATATTAATTATTTAAAAATACTTGTCCCGACATTTAGTTGTCAGCAAATTTGTCCTTTTATGAACAAAATCCGCTACTGTAAATATGGATTGATTTACAAATTCATAAAAATATTGTCAAGTTGTTTAGGATATATGGCTATGTTTATATTTAAAAAATTAAACATATATTTTTCAGTCATTTTGGAAAACCAGGGCAATAATTCCATAATATGACCTGGTCCCAACATATAGTTGTTAGGGCTCGTAATTACCAACTGGATATTTTTGCATATTTCTAAGTGACTATAAAAATATCACAATAACGACTGGCTATCCATGTTCGATCACTTTTGATTGATGATTGATTTCTTTTCACTTTTTTTTTATTCAAAATTGACTTTTTGCTCCTTGACCGCTTTTTTTATTTCTGTACGATTCAAGAACGCCATGAAGCGCCATCTCTCGATACTCTTCATCATAATTTCTTTTATAAATTTACTTAATAGTTAATCGTTTCTGTGTTATTTTTGCAGTGGCGCGTGGTGAAATTTTTAGATGAGGAAGCGATTCAACAACTAGTCCAAGAAAATAAGCCTTTAAATGCGCAAAAGTTTTGGTAAAAGTTTGAATTTTTGATATAATTTATTTCGAAAGATCCAAAAACGAATTGTGAAATATTTTTTTATATTCATCCCCGAGAAGGGGTGAAATAAATAAATAAAATAATGTTTTCGAACGTTTGGAAAAACGGTAAGAATTAGAAAAAAAAGTTCAAATAAATGTTTTGGGGCGTCAAATTTTACATAAAAATGATTGAGATGACTTTTTTTGTTCGGATCAAAATTAACCGAGATAGGGTGGCTAGAAGCTAGGGGATGATAGAAATTTATAAAAAAATATAAGTTGCTGAACAATTCATATATTTAACATTTTTATAAGCATAGTAGAGCTCGAACTGAAATATTATTTCTACGCCTACTATAACGTTTTTTTTATTCGAACACATAAAATTGGAGAGGATTTTTATTTTTGTGGATTAATCTATACTAATATATAAAATCCTTAAGTGACTGACATACTGATTACAGGTTGTTATATACAGGTTGATTCTAGGGTGATTCCAAGAGGGTGAAACCACCCCTCAAATATTACATTATTTTTTATTTAAAAAACGGTCAAGTTTCCGAAAAAACCCTTAAACACGTATATTATATTTTGTTTTTTTACATATTTTAAGATTTTTTAAAAATGTATAGAGGGTGTTTCGAAAAATCTGGTCATTGATTAATCACGATCCTGCTTAAAGCGCTTGACGAAAAAAGCCGATTTTTGGAAAACGGATTGACTTTAGGGGGTAGAGGTTCGATAAGAACGGATTTTTTGAAACTCGAATTCTAAGGGGGTGAAACTATCCCTCAAATATTAAAATATTTTTTATTTAAAAACCGGTGAGTTTTTCGGAAAAACTCTTAAACACGTATATTTTATTCTGTTGTTATATGACCACTGAGTAATCATGATTCTGCTTAAACTGCTTGACGTTTAAAGCTGATTTTTGGCAAACGGATTGACTGTGGGGTGTAGAGGTTCGATAAGGAGGGGTTTCTCGAATCTCAAATTCCAAGAGGGCGAAAACTCCTCTCAAATATTACAATATTTGTTATTTAAAAAACGGTTAGTCTTTCGGGAAAACGCTTGGACAAGCATAATTTATTTGTTTTTTTACATATTTTGAATTTTTTTAAAAAATCATACAGGGTGTTCCAAAAAGTTGGGTAATTTCTTAACCACAATTCTGCTTAAACTGCTTGACGTAAAAAGCTTATTTTTGGCAAACGGAGTTTTCGAAAGTCCAACGAGTTGAAACTACCCTCAAATATTACTAAGTTATATAATAATATCTCTATTTTAATGCCAAAGTTGGTAGCAAACAAGATGAAGCGGAAACTTCAGTCAGCTATCATGGATTGGGAAGCCGAAACGAAAGAGGTGATACACTGATAGATTTCGCACACCACAACAAATTATATATAATGAACACCTTCTTCAAGAAAAGAAACAGCAAAAAGTGGACATGGACCAGTCCAGATAGCAAAACCAAAAACGCAATAGATTTCATAATCAGCAATAGAAAAGATATAATCAAAGACGTAAGTGTATTAAACAGATTTTCGATAGGAAGCGAACACCGCATTATAAGAGCCGAGATAAAAATAAATATAAAGAAGGAAAGAACTAACATGATACTCAAGAAAAACCACAAGAAATGGGTAGCCCCTGAAAATAAAGATTCTTATAAGGAATGTATAGCCTCAAATCTAAATTATGAAAATACTACTACGATAGACGAAATATACGAAAACATCAAAGGGGCCACTCAAACGGCTATCGAAAAATGTTGTCCCAAAAAAGTAAAAGAACAAAAACTGAATCAAAGAACAAAACTTTTAATGAAACAGAGAAGAGATATGGAGGACAAGAGTACACAAGAATATAGAACTTTAAACAGAGAGAGCTTATAACTTAAGATAAATATATATAGAACTTTAAACAAAGAAATCAGAAAGCATAGGAGGCAACAGAATACGGAAAAAATTAGGAAAGTCATAGAGAAGAATCAAAGTTTGAAGATATTGAGAAATAGTACAATGGGAAGAAAAGAAATACAAAAGATCAAGGATATGCACGGCAACATAGTAACACACAAACAGGAAATCCTACACTCTATTAAACTTTTCTATCAAGAACTTTACACATCAAAACAGCAGGGGATCAGAACCGACATCCGAAAGGTAATAAATCAGGGGTCGGAAGAAATTCCAGAAATAACCGAGGAAGAAATTATCAGTGCCCTTAGAGATATGAAAAACAATAGAGCTGCCGGCGACGATGGACTGGTAATAGAGTCAATCCAAGAAGGAGGACCAGAAATCATCAAAGCTTTAAATGTCCTATTTAATAAATGCATTGAAGAAGAAATAACCCCATCACAGTGGAACAACGCAACCATCATTATTGTACACAAGAAAGGTGACGTTACAGACCTTAAAAACTATAGGCCCATCAGCCTTCTTAGCCACGTATACAAATTATTTACTAAAATACTCACCAAGCGTTTGACAAATAAAATAGACTTTTTTCTTTCGAGCGAACAAGCAGGTTTCCGATCAGGTTACGGAACAAATGACCATCTTCTAACAGTCAAGGTCCTTATCGAGAAATGCATTGAGTATAATAGACCACTAATGCTTGTCTTCGTGGATTTCGAGAAGGCCTTCGATTCGGTAGACCAGCGGAAGCTTCTAGAGACACTAAGTGAGAGTCGCATCGATCATCGATACTCCTCAATCATAAGACATATATATGATAATGCCACGGCAAACGTCAGAATATCGACAAATCAATGCACAGATAAATTCAATATCGATCGAGGGGTAAGACAAGGCGACACACTGTCCCCTAAACTATTCGTTGCTGTG